GCCTCTTTCTCTCTTACTCCGTATATACAGTGTATAATTTAGCTTTTCATCATAATTTTAAATTATGTAAGAACTACGACGTACTCTTACTACGATAACAAAACAAGTACAATTTTTTTTTCTCGTTCATCATGCTAGTTTGTTGCTCGTTTTCCGGTAATGTTGTAGCAATGCTATCTACAAATAAAACAAAATAGAAATGTCCTAACCTCTATCTTCACACTGTGTAGAATTCTTTTCTTCCATGATTTCTTCCATGTTTTTTTGTTTCGTTTTTACAGTTTTAAACACATAACAAGATAGCTAATTTAATAAAACTCGTCATGGTCCAAGTGACGTGTGATTTGAAAGCTCGACCAATCAGAAACGCGATGTGCACCTGGCGGGCGACACTTTTGGCGTTACGCACAGGGTTCCCATCGCGATGACCACGAAAACTGAGTTGCATAGTTTACCACTTTCTATACCTATGGTGCTCCTCTCGCGCTGAAACTCCTCTGTTATTGTAGACAGCAGTTCAATGATACCATATAATAGCAAACATATATCAATACCTTATAATTTTCTTCTTTTTTGACAAAGTATACTCCATCAAGGGTCCAATACATATCAATGGTTCTATTGGAGAAGATGCCTTGTTTATGTGGAATACGACAGATCGAAAAGAAATCCTTTCTGTCAGCTGGGGAATAAGAAAGGGCAACATCCCTGATCCTCAGTTTATCAGTGTTAATGGATATCATAGAAGGGTGACCAAAAACAAAGATATTGGCGAAACGTTGAAAAGAAGAGTAGGATTTATTGGAAACTTGACAATGGGTCGTGCTTGGTTTGTGTTGAAGAACCTTATTGTCAATGACACTAATGAATACATTGCAAGCATCAGTGACGATGTATCAAGAGTTCTACCATATTATGTGCGCCTAAACGTTACAGAGAAGGAGAAAGGTAAGCCATGCACTCTTTTGGGAGTAACATAACTTATTTATTTCATATAAACTTATGATTCTTAACTTCTAATTCCCTAATCAACACTATCTGCTTTAATCAAAACGGCACATGTAGTGATGCATGACCTTATCTAATCACAAAATGTTAATAAGAAATCAGGTTTCATTGTTTGGCTATATAATATAGACGAACACAGCTTTTACACACACTGAATCGACTTAACGTTGGAGTTAGAAGGTAAACTATCTTGAGTTTAGCCCAGACACCTAGTAAAACCACATGGATTACGCGCGATATAATTTTAATTATTACGTTTTCAGTAACAACAACAGAAGGACCTTTTCTAACCCCAGTCACTACAGCTGCTGCTCCGAATATTACAAGTAAGGCTTTGATAGCTTCAGCATAAAC